ATCTTCTGAAACCCTCCTCACTCCATACAGTTCTGAGCAGAGACACCCAGCTCCACAGCCACATCGCTGAATTAAGACATCATGGTATCATTAGCTGCTGCGTCCCCTCACGTGGAGACCACTCAGACAAGCAGCTCTCTAAACTGTGAAGGCAAGAATGGCAGATCACGCTAACACACAGACACACACACTCTCTCAGAGTCATCACATTAGCTGCTGTCACCACTTGACCCATCATCAAAGGCTGTTCATGGACACATCCATAATGGTAGTCAAGTGCTTTCTCTCAGTCTGTCTGTTTGCTGCTGCACTACATCTAATTCCACTGACAGTCAGGTAGTAGCGCCTTTCACTTCTTCAGAAAGAAAGAGAGAAGGAGAAAAGTGAGCGTGTGTGTGAGAGAGAGAGAAAACACTTGCGGTTTGGTCTGCTGAAGCCATTTTCTCGTGACGCACATGTACATCGACAGCAGAGAGCCTTTAAAACTGAGAGCGGGTGCACATAATCGCGGAATAAGGAAACAAAAGGGGCTGGTTTCAGAAATACTTCAGTTGAACTACTGTCAGACACACAGCCACAGAATTCCTCTCTTCTCCTTACCAACCTCCTTTGTCACTTTAATTTGCTTCTGGCTTTATGCATCTTTCCATACATACACACACAAAATAACTGTGGGAGATGTGATTTTGGCGTCTAATTTTTCCACAAAATTTTCCAGACTTTCAGATGTCCTATCAACTAGCATAATGAGTCTGCAATTAGCTACCAGCTTCAGCATTTCTTCATTCTAGAAGATTCTTATTATCACAAAATCAGCGCTTAAGTGATTACAATACCGTTTAAGAAGACAGCAACAGGCTCTCTTTCACAAAACAGAAAAGTCCACGAGAATTCAAAGGCCCTTTTGTCTTGAGAGGAACTGTACTCTGAACTTCAGGGTGGATATTTCTTTAACACAAATATATCTATATATTATATGATTGAAATAATCACACTTTTCAGACACAACCAATCACATGTGTACTATAAGAGTAAGGTAGAGGGCAATTTGGCAGCTAGATCTTACTTGCTCACATCTGATCTAATGGCACAGCATTCAAAGTGGGCAGAGTCTTCTGCTGGGGGCCGTACAGATCCCTTTGTAATGGAAAACATAGCATTTTAGGTTAATGATCAATTATTCGCTACTACGAAAGGCCGGGATTATCACAAATCCTGTGCTTAAAAAACGCCTAGCTCGCAACAAGAGCCTGATTCCCTTAATCTGTGTTTGACAGTGATTTAGCTAACACAGTACACTTTCACCATAAGATGATGTAATATGAAATGTATGATCTGAACAAAAAGATTTACTTGGTTTTTAAAGCAGCATTTTTGTAAATAAATAGACACTAGAATAAAAAGTCAGTGAATTGGGTGTTTTTGTGGAGTTTCAGACATAAGCGTTACAGGAAATTACTAAATCTCAATTATAACAATTTAATGTTTATTAAATTTGCTCATCAATACATGTCATTCATGCCCCAATAAACCTGATGAAATCATCACCTGTGCTCAGAGTTCTTCTTATTAATAACAAAAAATGAACAAGACGCCAATGCAAAATCATAGAACTTTCCAGTTATTTTTACGATGCCTATAAAACACATCATTCAAACCTTTCAGCAACCGCAATAGTGAATTCCTTCTCAAAGTTTTTTTTTTAATAAAATCAAACACAAAACAACTGATCCACCATTCAGCAATATTTGCTACTAACTAGTTTGAGGATGAAAAGGGTGAAGGAAAAAAAGCAAGAACAATCGCGAGCAGAGAAGGACTAGTCCTAAACACTGAGTCCATATCAAAAGATTTATTCTCATTATTTATTCATGCACCAATTAAAGGTTAAACATGTGCCAAAGCCTGTGCGTCAGAGAGCAGCTGTAGCAAGCGAGAGGGAGCGAGAGGAGGCCACAACAAGAAGGTTAAGGAAAAAGCAAACTAACTTTGTCTTGAAATGGTTTTGGCCAGGAGACAAGCTCTCCGCAAAAGAGAACGGACTGGCATAAACATTTGTACAAAATTATAAGTGCATTTGGAGACGCAAGCAGGAGTCAACCGCCTGCACACAGTTCCCCGCGCTCGCTCTCTCCCAGCAAACCCTCCACCCCAGAGCGCGTGTGTGTATACAGGCTCCAAACCACTGCATTTTAATTACTGCCAGCAAGCACAGCAAACCCCTTTGAAATGGAAATGGACCCAGAATCTTCCTCTGCACCGCAGAAATCTTCTTCTGATTTGAAAAAAAAAAAACAATATGCTACACCAGAGCCTAGACCTGATAATGCTGATTATAACCACCAATAAAGCCAGTGTCAACAACCTCACGCTCCCAGAGATCCCTAGCATTAAATCTACATATTCATGCGTGCTTATACAATAGAGCTATAGGAGATAGAATGGTGGAAAAATATTCAATAATGTCGAAGGTATATTTGTCATGCACCTAATTTCACATAAAGTGTCACGCTACATCAAGTTCAAGACATTTTGATTCGAGCAATGGTGTGTATTGATGGGATACATTCAAAGAGCAGCTCTATATTGTGCTTGCACATCCAGTTATCAGGCAAATGCTGTGAGAAGATGAGGAAAAGAAAGCATTTAGTAATATTTCAGAGTGAAAAGCTTCTGTGTCTCTGCTTTATTGTGCAGCATCAGGCCGTAGGTGAACATGTGTTTTCAGTAGTGGGCAAAAAGCATGCCCTTCGTTTACAAAGAGTGTCCAAGACACCTTCAATTTTTTATTCTCACGTGATTAAAATCTCTAGACCTGAGGTTGCAAAAGGGCAAAAAGCATAAAACATTGTAAGAAAAAAGGGGCTTTTCAGTGTGGACTGTCGCTGAAAGACACGGCCATCTGTATTGGCGTTTCACAAGGCCTCCTGAGCTATAGCTTCACTACCTTTTTTCAGACGCAAGACTGCAATTTGGGCGTGTTGTTAAGCCACAGATAAGTATAGGTTGGATAATTTGTACTTGTGCTGGATGAAAGAAATACTTAAGTCCTAATGTTAAAGGTCTTCACAAGACTACAAATCTATTTATTTACTATCTGTCATTTGATTGTTACAGTTTAGATTTGATTTCGGTGTGTCCAGGGTCAGCATTCCTGCCTATGTAAATCATTTAATCATAGAAGATACTGGATGCCCTGGGGATCTGGAGCAGCTGTCAGCGTGCCATCTTCATTGATGACAATGGATCTGTCATTCTGTAGGAATGCAGCGGACGGCTGCGAGAAAAAGCTGCATGTACTGCATGCATTGAAACGTCAGCATGTGTATAAACACAACCAGTTATGAAAGTGATGCTTGCAAAAAAATATATATAATAATAATAATAAAATCATGCCTTAAGTACCGTCACTCAGGATCTGAAAATCACATACAAGAAAACGCCACCTTTCTTGTGTCTTCCTCACTTTGCTAATTAGTAGCCTAAACTTACTATAATTAAAAGTGCAGCAAAGCTTCAATAACACATTCCAGAAACTTGAGAGATTCTGTCACAAAAGGGAAAAAAAAGCCTTCTAATAAACATGTTGCCATCGGTTTTGATCATTGTTGAAATATTCCACAGCAAATTAGCTAACACTTATAAAGACAGATGTCACAACATGTGCTGCCACATTTCCTCCTCATGCATTCCTCCCCTACGGCTGGCGTGCTGCTTACCTTTACCAGGCCTGCTGTTGTTTACCTCCAGTGTTGTTTATCATTAGGATTCTGCTGGCACTGTTCTAACCCCTCCAATACAAGACACAGCCAGACGAGATTTACACCTGAGCATCTTACACTACCCTCAACATGCTTCTTTCCACTAAATACTAAATATAATACTGGCTTACGCACTACTACATTACAAAAATAAAAACTAGAGTATTATAAATTAATAAGATGAAACATCATTTTGAAATAGAAAATTGTGTCTGATAAGAATGTGATTGTTCGTGGATAAACTGCTTGAGCTCCAAAAAAATAAAATAAATAAATAAAATAATCGATACACTTCTCTCACCGTATTTTCAAGATATATATTAAGATGTATAAACATAATTTAAACATTAAAGATGTATTGCTGTACTAAAGTGAGAAACGATAAGTAAAGTCAAATTAGGTAATCAAAACTGTAAATACTAAACCTTTGCAATCAAAAATAAATAAATGCCAGAGCTGTTTAAAACCACTGAAAACAGATAAAAACTCAAAATTGCTGTTAGGGAAATCTGAGACAATATTTCACAAGTACTAAAACATATGGCAGGCAACCTCTGGAAACAACAGACTGTGGCACATGAAAGAGAATTATTCAAAGTTCATTTACTGTCCAGATTTTAGAAACTGATAATGCATTCGACTGATGTCTCCAAAGAAGCAATCACAAGTCCCTTCATAACAGAGATACACATATGCAGCTGAACTTACAATAAGCTGCATGCAGAGAAAAGCTATTCCCTTATTCAAAAAATAAATACATTATTAATAATAATAATAACAATATGAGTATCTAATAAAGAGGTGTGACTTGTATTATGTACCTAAAAAATTTGAAGAACCCACAAAACACATTCCGTGAGGGGAAAATGTTTTAGCAAAACAAAACAAAAAAAAAACCTGAATGCATTTAAAGATTAAATTAAGTGCATTTTGGTGGCATGAAATTACAATCACTCAGTCACTGCTTAAAGTCTCATACTGACTCTCTGCAACAGTCACAGTAACAATTTAGATTTAGAGATAAATAGATTCAATGTTTCAATTAAAAAAGGAGAACTATCAAGATAATCTAAAACTAAAATTAATCTGGATGAGCTATAAGAATGAGTAAAAAATAATAATAATACAGCCCAACTTCACACATTTCATGTGTTAAAATACATATTCCAGCTGTCAAGATCTATTCAAATTCAAGCGAGACAACGCAGAACAGAATACGGTCCAAATCTCTGAACTTACTGGCACCATAAGCGTTCGTCTGCGATCTGTCGGTATCTGCTCGCCGGATCCAGTTAGGAAATGCTCTTTGCTTGCACAAAACCACAAGTTCCTCCCCAAATCCACGGGCAGAAGGTCCTGAAAAAACAACAACAACAGAGATCGACATTATCTCAAACGCTTTAATCCCAGGGAACATTAAACCGCGTTTGTCTGTGATATGTAATGAAACTGCACATAAACCTTCATTCATACTTCATTTCTGTCCGCAGAAAGAAAGAAAAAAAGCATTCGGGAACATCCAGCATGTGCATGGAAAATAGGGTTGAATGAAAACAGCGTTTAAACTTTAAACAGAGACCCGTGAAGTTTACAAAAAAAATAAAAATAATAATACCTTTACGCGGATGCGTACATTTGTGGAGTGTGTTAATAATAAAAGAGAAGGGATTTTTTAAAGGTTCATACCTTTAATATTGTATTTGCAAACAACACGTTTGATTGATTTTTAAATTTGGATGAATTTACAAACGTGATCATGGTTTGTCTTTTCAATGCATGACTTTAGAATAAGTAAATAAACGTAAGGGATAGGCAACAGGCACCCTTTCTCAAAGGCAGTGAATAAGTCAGTCTCTATTGAGTGAAGCATATCCCTGTATAGCAATCAGGACAATGTGCTAAACTGGCAGTCTAATTATAAATGTTCCATTGGACTCCAGTGCCATCTTACCTTATGAGGGAACAGCTAACAGCAACTGCTCAAAACAAAATGCCATTACGGGCTCAACTTCACCCCAACAGAGGGACAAGCCAAGGGGATTGTTTTTCAAACAGCCCCCTCTCACTTAAGACAAGAATGTATTATTAGACACCCGGTTATTCTTACAGACTGGACACAATTTCAGGAGAGAAAAACTAGCAAAGTTAAGCTGTGTTTAATTAAGGTGTCGGGTTGCGTCCCTGCGCGAGAACAACACAGCTTTTGTGTTTCTGCTCTGACGTTTAAAAAGCAAAAAAGGAGGAGAGTGTTTGGCTTTCTAGCGCCGGAAAGGTGTTTAACAATAAGTAATGTATGTGTTTTCATTTTTGTAATATTTTAAATGTCCCGTTTGACGTGTCTGAGGTGCTTCAGGAGTTTTTCAAAACCTTTCAGTTCCGTCATACGTCGGCGTGCTGTGTTATGTTCCGTATTAAAATATTATCGCATCTCGTGCAGCAGTCGAAAAGAGTTTATCTGTGTCTATGAGGCTCTACTTTTGGGAAACACCCATGCGATGATGGGCTATCTGTGTCCCACAGACTGAGTTCACACACATTGTGCTGCATTTGTCCTCTCAATAGCCTACCTCGTCACACTGTTTCTGGAAATCTCAAAAGCATCATGTTGCACAAAACCAAAAACAATTCAAACTAATTCAAAGATTAATTAGAATATAATGGAAAATAAACGTTACATGATTTTGCTGAGATTATTTTGAATAGAAATTCACTGTAGATGTCATTTTAAACATCTCTCTAATTTAGCTGTTTAAAGTAGCCTATTTTCACCTATCTTCTTGGTTTTAAAATAAAAGCTATAAATAATTAAACAAACGGCAGATATTTTAATATGTGCCTTAATCGCTCAAAAATAAAATTTTACACATTCTGATCAAATAAACAATCACGTAACAATTTCCGGAGTTCACTTACTTTCAGTCTGAATGCAGTGTTTCAAAGCACCTTTTTTTTTCAAGCTGGGAGACTAAAAGGAGTCTGCTTTTCCAAGTTGCTTATTGTCTCTAAATGGATCAGCTTTGGATGAGTAGCCTACTTCATTTTAATTTATGGCTTATGCATTCTTCAAAGGTCAATATGCCTGACCTCGAGCGAAAGTTGAGAAACAATTCCCATGCTTGCGTAAGAACAATTTTGCCTTCAAACTATTTTTCTTTAAATCACCTCTCTTACGGACAGGAGATGTATCCAATCTTAAATGCACAACGCGTATCTATTTTTATAAAACAGAAACTTAAAACGACGTTGAATCGGATTCTTGCCAGTACTGTTCCTATAGCGGCGCTTCTCCCGTTGTTGTCAATGAAGAGTACCGCTCTGTGGACAAAAGTGAAATTACCTCCTGTGCAGGGAACTTATCCGCCGTCCGGATGACAACTACGGGCTATCTATTACTCAGAAATAAACCTAATTAAATAGTACCGCATCCGGAGTAGGCTAATAATCATACAGACATTGTTAGTAATTAGACCTGCGCGCATAATTATTGTTTCCGTTCGGCGCGTGCGTTTGTGAGCAAGTAACACTAGGCAATAGTTCAACAGCGGACAATGAAGTACAGACAAAACATTATAACGGCTGGGATAACATACAAGAACCACTTGGATCATGTCTGTTGAACTTTTTTCTTTTAGTCGTCGAAATTGTTCCAGGTTTTTGCGAAGAAAAAAGCTCCTAATCGCTCCTCGTCACATCGGTATACGGAGTATCACGCGTCACTCTTCTCTGAAAATCACCGTCAAGACAAGTATCAATCCTGGACAAGCCAAACGTTTCAAACAGTTTGGACATCTCATGTAAAGCTTCTGTCATGGAAACCTGAATGTATCAATGCTGCAGTGTTACGACGCAAAATGACGATAAACGTAACATGACGAAGACACATGAAATCACGGACGACAGGTTACCAATGCTAAAAGTTTACCTTGATGTGAGCAGGGTACCAAAACAAGCGCTCGTCTTCGCCGTATCCCGTTATTGGTATTGAAACAGGTTAAAATAATGTACACTGATGTGTGGTAGCAGAGAAAGAAAAAAAAACTGAAGTGTATCGCTTCCACTGACCGTAGAGGGAATCCCGCTTTGGCTGTATGAAGTTGAACTGTCAAAACTGCTGAGAGCAGTTATAAGTAGCCTATATTTATCGCGTTTTTCCTCTCTACTCTAAACAGAAGCGACAGAAGACGATGGTTACTGCTGTCAATCTTGGCAATCAATGCAAGCGGCCATGTCGCAAGTATTCAAAGCATTTCCCGTCGTGCAACATCAGAAAGTGAGTTGCCAGGGCATTGATCTGAGGAGAGGCAGGGCTCCCCTCCCAGACAACACATGAGAGAGAGAGAGAGAGAGAGAGAGAGGGGGGGAGAGAGAGAGAGAGAGAGAGAGAGAGAGGGA